TCTGTACAGGAAATTCCAGCATCTACAACCACAACTGTGCCACATAGAATAACACTTAGTCTCTGAATACATATAAGTTTGATTGTAACAATTATACCCATTTAAATTGAAACAGAGCCCTGGGAGACCAGAGATTCAGAACCTGGAGAAATCTAGACTTGCTTCATTTAGGGCTTTAGCGTTGCAGGGAGGGCTAGGAAGTAGGGGAAATAATATGGTTCAGGGACTGTGAGAGACTAGTGTGCCATACTTCAAACTCACAGGTCAATGTAGAACCAAGATGGTATTGTCAAGTTTCCCTTAATTTCTGAAATTGGTTTGTGAATTGTTCAAATGAAATCAGTTTATAGAGGTTTCAATGGAAACTAAGCCATGAAAGGCATAAGAATATATTTACCACACTAGAAACAGATCAATCAGACCTCCCACATAACTTATTACCTTGTACCTAAAAGCCACCAATACATTACTTGGGTTCATATCAGACTCAAAGAATTTCTACTCAGCGTAATCACCAGTCTACATTGATCTACCGACTGGATGCATCCCAGGTACTGATTCATAATAGAAAACACTTCTCAATAAAGACTTCTAGTATTCCCCTGAAGGATTTAAACCTGTGTGGCTCTCATTTCTTTTGAATAACTGACATTACAATATACCACATACATGTCCTCAAGGAAATAAAAATAAAAATAAAAACTTGAAGCATGTTTGACAAGCAGCAAGACCATGGATACGTTTACAAGCATTAGAATGGCCACTACATGTCCCTTACTACTTGTAATATTGCAAGGTGACTTTGTGTTAATTCAAATAAGCATTAAATTATACACTTAGTTTCTGGTTTGAGACACTGCGTCATCAGTTATAGTCACTCTAACACACACCTCACAAATAGCTTCAATCCATTAGCTTGTTTCACAACAAAGAGGGTTTCACCAACTGCTCAACATGTTTAAAGAACAAACATCCTAACCGAGGCTGCCTAAAATACACTTATTTCAGTGACCAAGTTTGGAAGAGAATCTTTTGGGCATCGTCTCTGAACTGTGAAAAGGCTGAATTTCTTGAGAGGCATTTAGAAATTGGATGAACATGAGATACATGACATGTTTTATGGTTAACAACTTCTTTTTATTCTTTATAAGACGTTTCAGAGCGTGGTTAGAGCGTCCGCCCAGAGAAGGAAAGGTCCCGGGTTCGATCCCCGGCCGCGTCATACCAAAAGACGTTAAATATGGTACTTGTTGGTCCCTGTCTGGCTCTCGGCATTAATGGGTACAACAAGGACTGGTCGGCTTGGAGTCAGTATAATGTGTCTGAGTGGGGTATTCATGCTTCACTGCGGCATGGTATCTCAGTGGGCTAGCACTATAAAACCAGCTTCAGTCTGGGCTAGTACAAGCAGCCGCACATACACATACACACGCATGCACGTCGTCATATGAGCGAAATATTCTCAAACACGACGTTAAACCCAATTTCACTTCACTTCACTTCGTTCATCAGACAACTTTTTTTCTTTATACTACGTTTCAGAGATAATTCTTGCTCCTTCATCAGGTGAATGACGAAGGAGCAAGACTTAGCTCTAAAACGTCATATAAAGAATAAAAAGAAGTTGTTATTCATAAAACATGTCAAGTGAAAGGCTAAAAAGTGGCCCACAACATGAACACAGATGCATATCATGTTCATTTAAGTATACCAAACACTTCTTGATTCGCGTCTGCTCCACTGAACTCATCTACTGGAACTTTTGGACATTTAGGGCCTATGGTCCATAATGGACTGATCTTGCTGGACAGAATGTTCACTCTACTCTTGGACCTGTGGTTCTAGTAACAGACTAGAATGATGACACTACTGGCATTAAATGACACAGATGACAGTGGATACTCCCAGTTGCCCTCCAACCCGCCCACACTCTAGTCCTGTACTAGCAGCTTCTAGTATGGATGCCTGCAGCCTAGTTTACGCTAACTCTACAGGAGTGACTGAGCGAGTTTAGTTTTAAGCCGCACTCAGCAATATTCCAGCTATATGGCAGCTGTCTGTAAATAACTGTCTGGACCAGATAATCCAGTGATCAACAGCATCAGCATCAATCTACCCAATAGGGGTCCCTGACTCTACAACCTATAACCAAAGGTGTGGTAACGAACCTGTTTCTAATACATTGTCAAATTATGTACACAAACAAAACATATAAAAATCGATATCAGAAGTGTTCTAATCAATGACATTAAGACTAATCTGTTTTAACACTAGCAAATTTGGTAACTTAGAACCACAGTGGAATATCAAAATCCGCTGACCAAAGCTGATATTCTTAATACATGTATATTCTTATTACATACAAACCCCAAAGATCTGCTCATTCTGTTCTTGATTATGTAATAGGTAAAAGATTTGCAAGTGATTGAAAAAAGTACTAAGCTGTCAATCACAGAACACGATGAACATAGAATATTCACAATAATAGTAAGTTATTTTCAGATACTAACAGGCTGCCTTTTCTTCTTGTCCAGTAACATCCTCAACCTACCCAATCCTTTATAAGTATACAAGAAGCATTCAAACTGCAAAGTTTTGTTTGTAAGGTTAAAACATTTGCATCTACTTGGAATTAAATAATTCGTAATTAAACCTCATCTATTTCTATCTATCTGATAACCAGTTTGTGTCCTGTCTCCATCGGATACACTGACAACAATAAATGAATATTTGCCTTCACTGTTTTATTTCTGGATATCTCAAGACATCCATGTGAATGACAAGGGCATTTCATCTTATGTTCATTACCCACAGATTCATTCCATCTGAAAATTAAAACATATTCCTGACAAGTCTTAGTTGATTTGAAACATCTACATATACCATGGTATATGGCCTTTCTAATAGTTTCAAAACTGATTTAAAATGTTCATTTTGTCTCAATGCATGATGAATGGCTAAATTTACAATGAAATTCCCTAGGCCTTTAATTATCCTAATGCTAAGAAAAGAATTAAGAGTTTCCACATTTTGATAATAAAACCAAACAACAAGCTCCACCAAATTATATTTTCAACGGTCACATTCATTAATTCAATTTTATATTAACGGGGTCAAGAAAGGAAGGTAAGAAAGTAGAAATGTTCATGAAAGTGTTAGTGGACAAATACAAAATGAACATTATGCCTTACCCCTCAGGCCAGGGCAACCCACAATGGCTGAATAAGACAAGTAAACAGTAATGTACAACAAGTGTGTCACTGCCTGGAAAAGGATGGAATCTAGTCTAGAAACTCAACAAAAGTGGTTGACCACCATATCATTTCATATTACTATAAGTTATGCTATGACAGATTAACTTCAGGCATATGAAAGAATTTGGTAATCCATATCTTTTCACTAGTAATATTGTCCTTTGGTTTATAACATTTCACACTTAATGTCTTCATATGGTTACAAATGTAACTCTCAAGCTTTAAAAGGTTGGACATTTAATTTCAATGAAGTAGGGACTATGAACATGACGAGTGAGTGAGTGAGTTAATATGTAACGTCACATCGGCAATATTTCAGCCATATCGTGACGAATACATTTGATATTGAAATGAAATATATGTATATCATAAAAAACCTGCCGACGAAGGACAGTAAAACAACTAGAATATCCCAGATATGTATGTAAAACTAGTAATTAAATCTAAAACGTTTTAACTATAGAGGAAAGCAATACAGCATAAAAATGGGCTATAAATCGCCAATAACTGAAGGTAGATCACCATACCAGGGACCATGGGGACTTACATTACTTTTGCTACCTGCATGGACCCTAGTTGGATTTACACCATCCCTTCAGCCATTGGCGACAGAAGAGAATTCTAGCCATAAATTAAAAGCACACATATTCTACGATTAAAAACGTGGCAAGCCTAAATTTACTTTCAATATTTTGGGACTTACGTACCCTCATGAACATGATGAAGGAGAGCCTATGTTTATGATCTCATCAAATAATGATTTGTGTGAAAAAACACACTACTAGTCACTGGGCAGGTCTGAATTTTAGCACTGAATTAATATTCTTCACCTACTCTCATCATAATCAACAAAATGATGCATATTATTTTGTCTATTAAAGTTTTGACTAATTACTTTAAAATTATATCATATAACCATTACAATTGTTGTTTTAGTTTGAGGGAACATCTTCTTGCCTAGTTACATGCATCATCTTATGTATCTGTATACACAAAGAGAATTACTGTCAGGAAAAATATTTGTTGTGTAAGTCAGATTTTGTCAAGGTTCTGTGTTTTCCAAACAACCTTGATACTGTAGTAGACTATGGTGATGAATTGCATCTGATGTGGCTCTGAAATATAATCAGGATGTAGTAAATAATTAAATACAAAAGTATATAAGTTAATTGATATTAAATGTACAAAGGTCGAGTCCTAGCCCCATAATAGATATGTATCACTATTAATAAAAAATATGCTTAAAACACTTAAGAAATATCTGATTCAAATACTATTCAACAACTGTTTCAACCTAAAGGCTTGGAAAACAAATAAAATTGATTACAATACTGTCAATTCAAATGCTGAGTCCAGTAAAAAGATTGGAAACACTTCCATCCAATTCAGCATGCTTACAACTAGTAGAAGGAGAACAGTTACAAAACCAGTTGTTAATCAATTATAGTCAGGGAAACTAAATAATAAGAGTTATTTTTAATGACAATACAGAGCCACATCAGATGCAATTCATCACCATAGTCTACTACAGTATCAAGGTTGTTTGGAAAACACAGAACCTTGACAAAATCTGACTTACACAACAAATATTTTTCCTGACAGTAATTCTCTTTGTGAATACAGATACATATATACAACTGAATTCTTTACTATTGTTCACAATGATAGGAGCGGATTTTCAGACACAGTATAAGACAACTGATGACATTCCAATAGTGAGATTCACAAAATCATTTCAATGCCTACCTTCTCAGATCTTATAACCAGTGATAACAACATTAGAACTCTCTCTCCATGTTACAAGGACTCCTTGCAAAACTGTAAACACCTTGTACAGGAATAATATCACAGTCCACCACAAATTCCTTTACGTTGGGTACTTATCTAATCACCCCCCTTGTGACCTAGCCATATTCCTGGTGTCAGCCATTAAGACTTTTGTGTGGTTTGTTTACACTGGTAGCCTGGCAACCTCTCAAGCCATGGATGAGGCTTTATGTTAATAGGCTATATATCACGCATCAAGTTTTGTGCTAAGGGACCGAATCATAGTCCATGACAAATTTGGGGCAAATGTTCCAGATCAAAATGCATATGTAAAATTAAAATATGAACAATCTTCACAGTAAAATAATATTTGGTTATCACACACGGGCGTGTTCGTTCAGAACAAACCACTTTAATCAATGGTCAGGCTTCAATGAATCCAGCTAAAAATAGAACAGGTTCATTAAACAAGCTTGTACCCTTATCAAAGACCATGCAACTATGGTATTTGGTGGGCAATGCGCCATATTATTCTGGACATCAATATTGTTATGTCTCTCCTGTCGTGACCGAACACTAACGTCATTGTATACTCAGGAAAACCTGTCACAATGTCAACACGACAATCAGTGACGTGGAAAAACAACGAGACGAACTTTCCTGAAAGAGAATCAATGTAAGATGTGTGACGAAATTTACACTGTGAGCCCCATTGTGTGCCCTGCTTAACGGGCCAACTATGTTTAATATATTAAAGATTTATCCTGGGACCAGTGTTACGTGCCCAGTTCATTCACGTACACTCATTAGTCTGTGGTGTTTCCTAATTTCGTGAGGGTAGAACATGTGAATCGACTTACCACATATACGTTATTATCGCCATTTTAGATACTTGGACTGGATGAATGTATGTGACTTAGTCTCTATGTGGCAGTAGATGGAAAGAGGAAGGACCAAGATTGATCCTTTTACTATCTGACTGAATTTACGAACTGTTGATGAAGTTGTTGCATTAGTCAAACAAGCATCCCGAGATACACAAAAAGTGATGACGATGCAAACAGAAGAGTCAAATACTATTTGTAACACCACTAGTTATGTCATATTGGTCGTCGCTTGATATTGCAAGACCCCGGAGGTACATTGAACGATAGTTAGTATGACAGAAAATAAGGAGGTCGTCACACTGTTACGAGTTATCAGATATTTTTTTTTATTTACAGAGAAGTTGAAAGGCTTTTAGCAATTTAACTCATGTCATATACGGGAACGCCTTTGGTAATAAATCGACTTTATTGTTTTCAAATTCTGAAATTGCACATCAAACGAAGATATATACGTGCTTCCATATGTAATTTGTTTGTTTTAATGGGTTCTCATTTTGTTCACAGTATCCACTCTCTGTAAAACAGGCACAGAATCCAAGTATGTTTGAAGTATATTTGGATTATTTCTGATCAACACTCAGGTTAAGGGTATTCACAGGTACAGATAACGTTTTGGGCAATTGAGTTATGTACTCGCTTGTGTTCATCTCAATTGGGTATCCTAATTTTCCTTTGAGTAACCAAATAAATTGTACTCACCTCACTCAAACTCAATTGGGTATTTTGCCGTTTTGCATTAATAAAAAAAAATATAATAAAGTTCAAATGTTGGTGTTCGTTATTTATATTTGATCTGTAATATGAGAAACGATAAGAAAGACTACAAGTTGTCAAGTTCATGTCCTGAAATAGAACCTCTCAGTATACCTCAATTATTTTATCTATCCACCGGTACGCAAGCTAAGATTTGACATTTGCGTGTGTACGCATGTAAGATCACATTTATTGAGTATTTACCAAAATTCAAGCGTACTTGTACGCAATAGACTTAATAGGAATTGAGTTTTCACATAAATGTTGCTTAATTTACGCAGATACGCAGCTTATCTGTACCTCTGGTATTACAGTTCTATAAGCTCGTGGTTGTTTATTGGTTTGATGAAATGATTTTGGAATCGATTAATCGTTTGCCAATTGTCAGGTGCCTTGCTATCTCGTGTGTAACGTGTTTGGAAGCAGATTGCAACAAATTTCATTCCAATAACTCCCCCCAAGATATTCAAGTGATTTTTAACGGAATCTCAGGATTCTTCGGAACTGATCAATGTCATTGATGCAGCGTGCTACCCATTGAAGATACAACTTAAAATACATGTACTGTTGATTCAATTAGTTACAGACTGCCGTAATATACCTGGCATACGAATGCAGCGCTAAACAAACAAACAAACAAACAATATTTGACTGTAGAACCACACACGATCTTTTCATGATAAAACGTTGATTTTAACCAAGGGCGGTGGGGTAGCCAAGTGGATAAATCGTTCGTTCGTCACGCCGAAGACCCGGGTACGGTTCCCACACATGCGTACAATGTGTGAAGCCCATTTCTGTGTCCCCCGCCGTGATATTGTTGCTAAAAGCGGCGTAAAGCCACACTCTCTTGATATTTACTTATCTGTATTTTATTAAAACTTGTTCCCACATAATTTATCCCGCATTAGTGTAATTTTAATGACTGATTAATTATTTTAGCATCATATACTTGCTTGTACATGTACATCGTACTTGCCGATGTATGGTAACGGGCCAAAGTGTTTATCAGAAGAAATCCCGGTTAGAATTGATCTTCAGTAACCCACGCTTGTCCTAACGGGATCTGGTGGTCAGGCTCGCTGACGACGTTGACATATTATGTCATCGTGTCCCACTTGCGTAGATCGATGTTCATGCTGTTAATCACTGGATTGTCTGGTTCAGACTCGATTATTTACAGACCGGCGCCATATAGCTGTAATATTGCTGAGTGCAGCGTAAAACTCAAACTCACTCACTCATTAACAGAAGAAACTGGAGATATAATACCCTGGATGATCGACGATGGTGCAATGGATGCGTCAGGCAATTATTGTTTTTTCCCCCATGATTTGCCTACCTCTCCAATATTTGCACAATATTGAAAAATATACATAACACTTACAATACTCATTTTTGTCCGTAAACAAACAAACGCATACCCGGACTAGATCTATACAAGAAACACAAGTACATGTGTATCTTTTTGATTTTCAACTTAAACGACAACGTGTCACAAACGACCAACAATTGTTTAATAAAATCATTAAGAAATAAATGCTTACATAAAATACAACTCGTCAAAGAAATAATTACAGAAGAGCGCCACCGGAACACATATGACATTGCCGTTCACGTTAGTGTGTTTCTGTCTTCATATACAATGTTGTAAGTAAGTACTTTACTAGTGTTAAACATGAAGAGAGATGAGATGGTCTGCCATGTTAACAGATCCCCTAAATTTTCGTAATATGTTTTAGGTTTGAAGTGTTTTACTACGATAAAGGATTCAACTTTATTAGAAAAACGGATTTCATTAGTTACAACATTATCCCAAACAGCGAGATTGATTTCTGCAAGTGTATCAACAGAGGGCTTTCTTAACAAGCGAAACATATACATATAGTCGTACGTCTAATAGTATCAGAATGGCATTGATGTAGTGCACAAGTACCTGCAGACAACAGTAAACAGACAGAAAGATGAGTGCCAAGCCAGCTCCAAAGAAGAGGGAAGGAAACGAGCCTTTTGAACTCGAACAACAATACATACTGAGATTACCACCAGTAATGACATTTTCACGTATCTATAGCATGTAGTATATTCAAGCCCATCTGTAAATTACGAGTTCGGCAACTTCGCGCAAAGACACAATGTTTCTCAACACTCTTGTCACTATGTCAGTTGTGGGTAGAATCGATGTACAGATACATATGCCCCACCAAAGAAACTCTAAGATAAAGGTTTTTTCATAATTGATCATAAGATTTACAATAATGGAGCTTACAGGGTGCAGGTTATATGACGCTAATGGCATGAATGAGGCGACTGTTCATCTGGCGTACATCTTGGAACATTAGATTAGAGTTGACAGGTTTCAGGTTCGGATACGCCCTGTCCTTAAACCTTGGATTCTCTCTCTGATAAAGCGTCCATTTATGCTCATAAAAGTCTGGTATGTCTTTTCTATCAAACAAACCATGACGATCTTAAGGTTGTTCAAATCATGAAGATCTAGGTTAGAAACGTCTTCAGCAGCAAACCATGCTTGTCATAAGAGACGTCTAACGTGATCATGTGGTCAGGCACGCTGATTTGAATGACGCACATCATGATATTCCCAGTTGTGTAGATCGATGCTCATGCTGTTGATCTCTGGATTTTCTGGTGCAGACTCAGTTATTAACGGACCCACGTCATATATCTGGAATATTGCTGAGTGTAACGTTAAACAACAAACAATCAAAACTTAAGGTTGTTCTCCACTTGCCAATCAAACACCCCTTTATATTCCTTAGTGTTAGTAACCGCCTCCATGAGAGCGTTAAAATATGGTACTTGTTGGACCCTGCCTGGCGCTCGGCATTAATGGGTACAACAAGGACTGGTCGGCTCAGAGTGGGGTATTCATGCTTCACTGCGACATGGTATCTCAGTGGGCTAGCACTATAAAACCAGCTTCAGTCTGGGCTAGTACAAGCAGCCGCACCTACACATACACACGCATGCACATCGTCGTATGAGCGAAATATTCTCAAGCACAACGTAAAACCCAATTTCATCTCACCTCACCTTAGTGTTAGTTGTTAAGTAAGGTTTGGGCTACATTATTATGCACATAATCCAATGTAACCAAGCACCTGGTTGTGATTCAAGTTGGCAACTTGAGTTCGATTTTTCAGGTGGTGCTGAAAAAGTGTGCTACTCAATTTTGTGATAGCCACACATTGATGTCAGTTTGTTAGTGACTTGAAGCAACTGTACATCCATGCAAAATACAACTGACACCCGTCCTAACACTATTATTCAACACCCCTTTATATTATGTTGTTAGTTGTTAAGTAGGGTTTGGGTTACATTAATATGCACATAATCCAATGTAACCAAGCACCTGGTTGTGATTCAAGTTGGCAACTTGAGTTCGATTATTCAGGTGGTGCTGAAAAAGTGTGCTACTCAATTTTGTGATAGACACACATTGATGTCAGTTTGTTAGTGACTTGAAGCAACTGTACATCCATGCAACATACAACTGACTCCCGTCCTAACACTGTATTATTCAACAATATTATGTTGAATCTGATGTTAGAATTGGTTATCAGTAACCCATGGTTGTTGCAAGAGGCCACTGACAGGAGTGTTTCCCCATTGATGCTCATGATATGTTAATCACTGGATTGTCTGGTCTAGGTTTGATTATTTGCAGATCGCCGCCATATAGCTGGAATATTGCTGAGTGCAGTGTTAAACAACAAACCAACCAACTAATCTAATGTTATATTTGTGTTTAGGGGCCAGCGATTGCTCTACGACGGGATGTACAATCTGGGTCTATGACTCTGAAGGACAAGCTTGGTATCGAGTTGCAGAACGATATGAGGACGTGTCGTGTCCGATATGGAGGAGATATTTTTAACGCCAAGGTACAGCAGACAAATTATCAATTGTTTTTTATTACGAAATATATATATGGTAGAAAAAAAATCAGTCCAACGAAACAAGTATTTTTGTTACCCTGGATGACCTAAATACAGGGTTACGTTCCACCATTAATCCGATATGTAAGACCAGAGCGGAAATCCTAGGGAACTAGTTGTTTTCTACACGAATCCATCTATTACATGTAAACCACTGTTCCAGAATGAGCTGTGTTTGTTTTAATGAGAGTGTCTACCCCTAAAATCCCTCTCTGCAAATGTAATCTAAAGCTTCAAACACTCCAGCCCAAGAAGTTGCTGAATACACAGATGTCAGATCACATGTGGGGCAGTTGAACTTTACACTACTGGATACATTATGTACAGTCAAACAACATTGTGTTGAAGTTGAAGGAACCTGACTGAATACCTTTCCGAGGTTTTGACAGAACCACAAAATCATGAATAACTATGGTATACGCAGCAGAGAACAAACTCTTTCTTCAAGAAAATCCTCAGTTTGAGGCATCTGTGTTTGAGTGTATATTTTTATATCCAGTTGATACCATGAATATACTAAAGGTACCTGTGTTTGGATGTTGCAGCTTGTTGACTTACCTTCCATTGTTGAGTCTTTGAAGACTGTGGACAAGAAGACCTTCTACAAAACTGCTGATATTTGTCAGGTTAGTCCAGGGTTTTACATCGACTCACAAACATGGGGTTCCCCCAAATATTAGTTGAAAGGTCCTAGCAGGCAATATGAGGGTCCTGTGACAGTGTAGAGAACTGTATGTTTTGATAATTTCTTTAGAGCCTGGAATGAATCATTGATCGTGTGTGTCACTGATGGATGAAATGATGCAGACACATTTTACTGACTCGGTTTGTTATTTATATTGGGATTTTTAGAATGTTTTTACTAGTTTGTTAAATATGTGCAATTAGGAATTTTCAAATTCAATTAGCTGAAGACTTGGAGCCAAATATTGGCCTCTAGGCGGGTCTGTCACAGTACGGTGTGACTGCTTAGATGAGGGACAGTGTGGTTGTCTAGTTGTTAAAGAGTTTGCTTGTCAAGCTGAAAACCTGGGTTAGATTCCCTCACAATGTATGAAGCCCATTTCTGGTGTTCCCTGCTGTGATATTGTTGGAATATTGCTAAAAGCATCAAACCTACTCACCCGCTGTTTAGATGATGATCTGTACTACGTATGTATGATGAGAAAACGCCGCAGGAAGAGGAAAGTCCAAAGAAGAAGGACAAGGATAAGAAATATGCCTGGAACCATGGCAGTAAGTTCTTCCTACTGTCAGACACTTACCTCCCTTGAATGGCGGCAAGTGAGGGAACATTTCAAAAGTTTCGTGTAAAGTTTTGAGACGGACCCCAAGTCATTTGTAACAATTTAATAATAAAGTAGAAAATGTTGATATCCTTAAAGAAACTGAAGCCTGCGTTGCAGATCTGGAATGTGGAAGAGCATTTTAATAATTGTCATTTCACTCAACTTGTTTTGAGTTGCATCCCTTTGTATTGCCAGGAAGCTATGATCCTGGGTTTAAATCCTGGTTTGTCAGCACCATATCAGTGCTGGTGCTCATTATTTTTACGCTTTCTATCCATATCGAGCTGACACCCTGTGACATGAGTGGACTACTGTTCAAAGCGACTGTAAACCTCACTCACATTTTTACTCAACTTATTGATATCCCTTCTGTGAACATTTAATGTATGTGACATAATCATGCAGGCATTAATAACAGCACACTGTTTATGAAACAAAGATAAGTATAGGTTAATCACCCTTACAAGGTAGTTATTTAAATAAACTCTGTGAGGGCTTTAGCACAAGCAGAGTTTATTTAAATAACTACTGTACTGAGGGTGATATTTATTTAATATGCGTGTAATGTATTAGGCATGATGAAGATTATCAAAATGAGTACAATTTTATTGTTTTTAAATAGAAATAATTGCCCTAGGGCAGTTATTCAGTTATGCTAATAAAACACTTCCAAGAACAATGGACATAACTTTCCCTAGTGGTTTAATCAGGGTTAATTCTAGTTTAAGGTCCCTCACAGTGCTATTCTCATTGGTGTCCTACAAATCTAAGGCAGCCCTGTGATCCTTGAAGCAGGTTGAGCTTTTCAGATCCCTAAGTATTTTCTTTGCTAGAGTTGTAAGTTTTGCAAAGGACCAGTTGATGCTTAGTTTCAAACTGTTCTGTGGAACAACCTGCCGGCATGTCTGATTCTACTAATCCTTGTCTGCCCTACAGTTACACCACCTCTCAAGAATGTGAAGAAAAGAAGATTCCGGAAGACCTTGAGGAAAAAGGTAGGTGTTTGTGGTGATCAACCACTGCTTTATTGACCAGAAGGGGAGATTTTTGAGAGGTGGAAAAAGGTGTCTTTTGTGATCGTTCATTACTTGATTGGCTCCCTCTTGCTTCCACCTCTCCACCACCCCTGGATCAGAGGTAGCTGTTCGGGCAGTTTTTGATCCAACTTCATTCCCCTATGTTTGGTGATGCTACAGCTGTGATATTTATGACTTGTTTTTATAAGATCCCATTCAGCCACCAACTCAATCCCATTCCAGCACATAGACCAGCCTGAGACGGAGAAAGAAGTTAAGCGGTTGTTCCGCTACGATGCCGAAGCCATCGACGTCCAGTGGGAGGTGATCACAGAGGAAGACAAGTCCAATACCCAAGACAACAACAGTCAAGGTCAAGGCCAGGTTATAGAGGCGAGCGGCAGTTTCCACAAAGATGAATCCCAGATGAAGAGGAGCGACACAAGCGTGTCCCTAGATCCTGGTATGTTATGTATGCAGATCAGTGTTGTGTACCCTGAGGTATGCCTGAAATTAGCATTCAGCAGCCTCTTCAATGACAACCGTAGGAGCTGCATAACGTAGTATTTTGCAATGACGCAATTAAACTTGCTCTTACTTTTCAAAGCATTTGATTTTAGCCATTGTATGGGGTAAAGCCTGCTAAAGCTCTTGTTGTTTTAGAAGTTAGAAATGTTTCTGAGGAAGGAGCTTGTGCACATCACTTACTAAAATGACTGAAGTTGTCACATATACTGCAGTCTTGCCCAAATATTGAAATATTTCAATGAGATTTAGTTGTTTTTTAGGTTAATTGTTATCACAGGTCCAGGTTTCTACAACTACCCATACTTGAAGAAAAATGAAAAAGGTTCCATCTGAAAATTTGCTGTTTCAATCAATGATGTCATCGAGTTAAGCATTGCTTCTGTGTAGTCATCTTGTGGACTTAGTCTTACGCTATCTCCAACTTTCCACAGCATCATATTTTGGTGAGGTGAGCAGTTCCGAGGACGATGAAGACCGCGACATCAACATCATGGACAGCGGAGAGGAGGAGACCTCACATGGGCCATCCACACCGAGGGTGGGCTTTACCATCGACAGGATGACCAGCGAGAGCATGGACGTGGGTGACTCTGACACAAGTAAGTCAGATGGGAATGGTGGTATCTCTTCATGCAAGATGCTACTGTGATATGGCTGGAATAATGCTGAATACGGCACAAAAAAAACATCACCCATGCTATGGGGTGGTCTTGTCTATAGTGGTTCTTGGAATTTTGGGGCGGTGGGGTAGCCTAGTGGTTAAAGCGTTGGCTCGTCACGCCGAAGACCCGGGTTCGAATCCCCACATGGGTACAATGTGTGAAGCCCATTTCTGGTGTCCCCTGCCGTGATGTTGCTGGAATATTGCTATAAGCGGCGTAAAACCAAACTCAGTCAGTCAGTCCTGTAATTTTCATCCCAATTTAGGGGTCCATTTAGAGGCCCAGTGATTAAAGCGTTGCCTGTCATATAATAGGTCCAAGTTTGATTCCCCACATGGGTACAGTTTGTACAGTTTCTGGTGATATTGCTCGAATATTGCTAAAAGTAGTGTACAACAAAACTCACACAAACAAATTTCAGTGATTCAGGCATCTTTCTGTGCTGAGTCGTATCCCTTATCAGTGTATGAAATAAGTAAAAAAAACAGCCAGACATCACGGATGGTAACTTCAAAATGTTACCAGACATAAATGGATTTAACCAGACCAGACACCAAGATATGGTGAATTTACTCAGATGTATGGGATATCTATAAAAATTACCAGACCATCGGGCTGGCTAGCTGTAAATTTAGACCGTCCGTCAGAAATCTAGCCCGTCTCGGGCGGTCGGACTTGCCTTATTTCATTCACTGCCCTGTGCCAAGATCGGATACATACCTTTCCCATTGGTTTTTCACTACCAGCACTAATACTAGCATTTCTTTTGGATTTTCTCTATTTGATTACTTTTCTCTAATTCCATTCATATATCACCTCTGCACTCTTTCTGGTTCTGCAGTTGTTAAGACTTCACCCAAAACCAGTCCTAAATAATTTGAAAGCTGACATTTTCTTTTCAGATGAGTTGAGCAGCAAGCTGACTGAGCTGACACAACAGCTGGCTGAGATTCAGCTGAAGAAGACAGATCTAGAAGAACAGCTGGCAAAAACAGACTCACCTGAGGAGAGGGTTAGTACTATCAGGGATTTCACAACTACTGATGTAGCTGAGAGCTCCATACAAGCCATGTAGGATTCACCCTTACCAGGGTTAATGTAATGCAGTGTTTGTGAGTGCATGATTTGGAGTTATTGGTAATGAACTAAACATTGTTGTTTTGTTTCATTTTTAGATTTGATGTAGTTCAAATGCTGTTAATTTTTAAACTTATCCTATCTCACGACTTGCACCTCTCTCTCTTCATTCGACCATGAGTGGAAACGAATTAAAACTTTGCTCCAAGGCCTACCTTGCCCCTCTCCCGTGCTGTGCGTGCCTTCTGTGTCAGTCGTGCTCACTAGTCCATGACAGCACGAGGCATGCGCAGTCCTCACCCACGTGATCACCTCACATACTCATTCTCTTTCTTGTCGCTCCACTGAGTGGACGTGAAAATTTTTTCCACTGAGATTTGCTCAATGGTTAAGCCTGTTCAGGCCAGTAAACGGATGTTTTGCGCCCGTTGTAATAAAGTATTTTCAGCATGGGACCCACACACATCGTGTGTTGATTATGTGGGTGTTTGTGACTGGGACACCGCAGCTGTCGAAGTGTTCAGGTCTGTCTAATGAAGGCGTTTAAATTTTACAAGCGTGCTTGTGCCAGGCGTTTGGCAGATAGGGCTAGGACTAATTCTGCGGGGTCTGGTCCATCTCCGCTAAGAAACAATGCTTAGATCGCCCCACCCTCACTGCTCACCGTTCTCAATCGCCCGTCTCTCCTGGCGAAGATTTTATGGAGAACTTCGTCAGTTCCTATTTATCTGAGAGCGTTAGAAGGCTTTTAGGGGAGCTTCCCTCACCCAGTTTAAGTTCTCATGGCGTACCAGGGTGGTAATGACCGATATTTCTTCTCGCCAGACCTGCGATCTACATTATCTCGTAGGTCTGCTTCTTGAACGATCACAGACCGAGAACTTCTAAGCATTCATCGTTGAGGCGGGGATGGTAGCGGTTGGAGCGATACCAGCTCTCCTATTTCCACGGCGGCTGGGAGAGTCGTTCTAGGTCTCGTTCACTTTCGAGCGGCTCACCCGCCGAACCGGCTCACATGGCGAACACTCACACAGCGAGCCGGCTCACCATGCCGAACCGGCTCACATGCGAACCGGCGAACCGGCTCACACAGCGAACCGGCTCACATGGCGAACCGGCTCCGCAGCGGCCGAGCCGGCTCACCAGTACATCTTGAATGGGTTCACCTGACCGAACTGATTCCGCGTAATCAAATGGGTTCACCTGACCGAACTGATTCCGCGTACTTTCGAAGGGTTCACCAGGACGAGCGGGTTCACATTCCGACTCAGTTCACCTCAACATAGGTTTCAGTTCGACACACCATCAGCGTTTTGATTCCGTGAGTCGTTCAGTCTGCGCCCTGGTCGAGGTGGTTGGCCATTTCGATCCGGTTCACCTAGCCGTAAGGTGTGTTTTCGTCAGAGTGATTCTCGAAGTCGGTCTCATTCACTTTAGGTGAATCAGGATATCCGTCTTGTCAGTCTAGACTCAGTAAGCGTAATTTTGCGCACACTGTAACAATATTTACTTCCTCGGATCCCCAATCGTCATGTTCCTGGAGCAAGCGTTGTCGGGAATGTGCTCCCTTATTAAGGGCGTTTTTAGAGCATGTAGACATACTTGCTCGATGGCTGGCAGACAGAGCTCGTTACACTTCAACAGTTGATCACCCGACAAACCCCGTTTTTAGCGACCGGTATTAACTGCTTTCGTCGTCCGCAGTTTCCCATGTCGGACGGTGATAATTTTATGGAGCATCATTAGATGTCTTCGTGGTTCCGCCTCATCAAAGCGTTCTGTGTTGCCAGTTGACTCACACATCCGATCTACGCCGTCAAATCGCCCGAACCGATTAAGCCACACCCGAATCGGTTAAGCCATATACCGAATGGATTCACCAGACCGAACCGTTTAGCCATACCGAATGGATTCACCACACCCAATCGGTTAAGCCATGCGAAGGGATTCACCACACCCAATCGGTTAAGCCATACCGAATGGATTCACCACACCAATCGGCTCGCCATACCGAATGGTTTCACCAGACCGTACCATCAAATTGCCGAACCGGTTCACCCGCGCCCGAATCGGTTAAGCCATACCAAATGGATTCACCAGACCGAACCGATTCACCACACCGAATCGGTTAAGCCATACGAATGGATTCACCAGACCGAACCGTTTAAGCCCGCCCGTATGTGAATCGACATTGACTCAGTTTGCCATAATATTAAGACTGTTTCTTATCGCGAAACAGTTCACATCATCGATTCAATTCACAGCAGCGAAGCGATTCACCTCGGCGGAACATTTCACCTCGCCTCACTGGTTCATCTGGCGTTCTAGATCTCTCCATCAGCTGAGATCATTTAACCGGTTCGGATTACCGAACCGATCCAGATCAGTCGCGATTCAGATCACATCGGACTGATTCAGATCCGCGTCAACTTTCGGCTCACCACCCTGAACTGATTTACCAGCCGGCTCGTATCGTTTCACCAGGTCGAAAGCTCCTATCGTCGAACCAGTTCACCTGGCGTTCAAGATCAATGTACAGAGGTAGTAGCTATGTGCTTCACCATGCCGATTTGATTTACATGTGTTGTTAGTAAGCGCAGTCATCTAGAGATATCACGCTTTCGGCGCCAGGCGGCCTGGCGATCCCAGTTCTCAAGAGTCCTCCGTGACGGAGCTCATCTCATTCAGATTTAATCTACCATCCGATCTTCACTTTTGATGAATGATTCGGTTCAGCGATTCTACCCTTGGTGTAGATATCAGTTCTGCAACCACCGATATGGCATAACTAGATGCGGCTTGCGAGCCAGGAATACTCTCTGGCGGCTCCGATGAGTCTTGTTACTACAGACTACTTTCGTAACGAAGCGTGTTTGTGTATCCTTGGTGCAATTGTTGCAGGCGGCTCGTCATCTTCAGCTCCTTTGTTTTACATGATAAGCAAGTTTCTGGACAGATAACAAATGGATGAAGTTCTTGCGCGCATACCGGCAATGTTTTGTCAAATAGCCAGCATAGCTCAGCCGAATTTATGGGTTCGCGACTTCGCCCGGTTAACCAAAGACCATGTTGTCCATTATTTTTGTCACTTTCGTGTGTAGCGTTTGCAAATGGCGGACTACTGTTTGTTTACGGAATTTTGATGATTAGAGTGACTATGAAGTGCCCTTGCAGAATTCTCTTGGTCCCACGAATCGGATACCAAGTCCAGCCTATAAATGCAAGTAACAACGAGCGCTGCCATTCCGATATAAGAGTGACTGTGTCGGGATTTTTGACAGCCAGTCGAGAGAGACTGCTTATTGAGGGTGGCGGACAGAAACACCCGTGAGCGGTTTGCCTAGTCAAGCACCGAGTTCAGAGGTCACTGCATTATGCAAGGATTGTCACCAGGCAGCGATCTACTACCTATATCACTCCACCTGGCACCATTATTTTGTTAGGCCAAAGAAGCGTTCCTGAGGTCACCGATCCTCACAATTTCTACAATTTGTTTATAATGTGAGCGTTCCTGTAGATTGACTGACAATCTCCATCGCGCCGAACATACTACATTGAGCACTCCGTCAGAACTGGCGTAGTTGCTTTCGACTTATTGAAACGTTCTTATATCAGGAGATATCTTTTGTCAGAGGCAAGAGTGGTTAGACCTCTCATTTCCCTCGACCTCGCGATGGCGTGGGGTAGCCTAGTGGTTAAAGCGTTGACTCGTCAGCCCAAGACCCGGTTCGATCCCCACATGGGCACAATGTGTTAAGCCCATTTCTGGTGCCCCCGCCCGTGATTTTGCTGGATTATTGCTAAAGGCGGTGTAAAACTAAACTCAGTCAGTCAGTCAGTCCCTCGACCTGTGAGGGCGCCTACCTTCACATCGGATACATCCAGACTATTGGAAGTATCTTGATTTACTTTTATGGAAGTCATTGATACCAATGGAGGATCCTGCTGTATGGGCATATCGCGCGCCCGTGGGTTTTACTCAGATACCCATTCTGTTAACCAGCTACCTGCATTGTCGAGCGTGACAATTGACAACAATATCGGCGACTGTGTTCAAGCCCAGCAGGATCAGTCGTCCTTCCTTTCCACAGACAGTTCATCATCAAGTTGCTCCGCGCCAATTAGGATGGCTGCTAAATTGAACAATCAGGGGTAACACCGACCAGCTGTTTCTTCTTATTGGGACAATATTCAACCGCCAGGTCATGATGTTTGTGCCCCAGGAGAGGTGGGACAAGATTCAGTGCAACGCACCACTAGTGTTGGTCCAACCCACACCTTTTAAGCCAGTGGCAGAAGTTACTAGGGTGGTTGGCGTCGGCACAAGTGCTGACTGACAGGGGCCAGCTGCAGCTTGCCCTCTTCAGATGGTTCTGTGCCCATACATGGGGGGCGACAACCCCAGGGGAGTTGATTAGTCTTCCCGCTGCTACATTCAGTCTTTTCGTTGGTGGCTCAACAAGTTGGAATGTTTGTGTTGGAGTCTCTAGGGTGCCCTTCATACCGACTCAACACCTATTAGTTGGCACATCTTGCAAGCTGGAAGCTCACTTTCTCCATCAAGTGGCCTAGCAGTGGTCATCAGGAGAAAGGGCCCTTCATCACAAGCAATTGGAATTCAGCATTGTCATTATAAGCCTGTTAGGCACTTTCGGGACAACCATCAGCTTCAGCGCAGATGATCACCAGTTCGCGATCGTTTCTGCTTTGTGTACAATCTGAATAAAATTCTGAATTTTATTTCTGATTTGTGTCTTCGATTCTTCTGGGACTTGTGAGTTTCGATTCAATTACCCTTTCACTCTCCGCGGGGCCGGTGTCTGTGGGGGTTGTTAATGAAAGCAGGGGCTGGCCCGATACTGGTCGTCAGACCTTGGAAATCGTGGTAATGCGACTGTTTACACTTTCGCTAAGCTCGTCCTTTCACTTTCATGAAGGTAGTGACTGAACACCACATTGCTTTCGGGAATCCGGTCCCTGGAGCACTTGTGTTTAGTAAGTCAATGGGTTCGAACTGACCATTGCAGGTCACCGGCTTTTGAGGCGGCTGGAGGGTCGCCACCTCACTTACTGTCCTCTGCTCCGCGGATTAATTCGTCAGTAAAGTGAGTCATTCGAAGTGTTACGCCGTGGCGTTACCTGTAAAGCATCGCCAAAGGCGCCGCCCGTCTGCGTAAGAGACTGTTTATACCCTTGTCTACTGCTTCCAAGGCGGAAGTCTCTCGCACAACACTCTCATATTGGCTCTGAGCTACAATACTCACGAGCCTACACTTTTGCGGTTTGCCACCACCTCGACAGTCAACCCTCATGAAACCAGGGCATTGGCTTCTACTATGGCGTTGCATAGCAACTGCTCGTTAACTGCCATAATGGAGGGTTGTTTTGGCGATCTGACACAGTATTTTTCGTCTCATTACCTCAGAGATGTGTAGGTGTGCCGGATATTCAAGGCCTTCATCAGTTTGGACCACTTTCGTCCTTGCCCAGCAGTTATCAGCGGCACAACATAGCAGATAATGAACTTCCTTGTGCTCCGATGCTATATGGATCCCACTGTGCAGTTGATCCCAAGTCGCGATCGTTTCTGCTTGTGTACAATCTGAATAAATCTGAAAAACTTTTTCTGATTTCGTCTTCGGGATTTAGATTTCTCCTCTCATTTGTTTGAGACTACAGAGATTAAGCCACCTCACTTACTGTCCTCTGCTCCACGGAGTAATTAAGTCAGTGAAGTGAGTCCTTCGAAGTGTTACGCCGTGGCGTTCATGCTCCTAAGTGCCTATACACATCTATGTGATCTTATTGTGGTAAGTAATGGAAGTCATAAGATGATGTTGTGGTACTGAGCGTTAAAATTGTGAGTTTTACCGATTCAATTTCTCTTTCACCCTCCTCGGGGCGGTGTCTGTGGGGGTTGTTTGAAGCAGGGGCTGGCCCGATACTAGTCGTTAGACTTTTATTACGAGGGTACCTTGGAAATGCGTGGCGATGCGACTGATTACACTTTCGTTAAGCTCGTCCTTTCACTTTGTGAAGGTAGTGACTGAACACCACATTGCTCGGGAATCGGTCCCTGGGAGCAATTGTGCTTAGTAAGTCAATGGGTTCGAACTAACCCTGCATGCGTAGTAACTTGGTAGTTATTGGCCTACCTTGTAGTTGCTTCCCTCACGGTTGTTTGGGCATAACACTTAGCTGTTATCGCTTGAATTCGGGTAATCTATGACCCACCTTCCTACCGTGGGATAAGTGCAAAGTCGTGAGATAGGATAAGTTTAAAATTTGAAAATTTTAACTATAAATTGTATATTTATATACTTATCCTATCTCGCGCGATAAAGTCCCTCCCTACCTCCCACTACATAGATTACCACCGTTCGGTTTGTCCTTTTATGGCTCCAAGATCGAGAATGAGTATGTGAGGTGATCACGTGGGTGAGGACTGCGCATGCCTCGTGCTGTCATGGACTAGTGAGCACGACTGACACAGAAGGCACGCACAGCACGGGAGAGGGGCAAGGTAGGCCTTGGAGCAAAGTTTTAATTTGTTTCCACTCATGGTCGAATGAAGAGGAATGAAGAGAGTGCAAGTCGTGAGATAGGATAAGTATATAAATATACAATTTATAGTTAAAATTTTCAAACTTATATCATGGCCCTACAATGCGTGAATTGAAAAGTAGGTGATGAGCATTTGATGATGTGTGTGGTGTTACTGTGTGTAGGTGTGTGTGTGATGAGCATCTAGTAATGCTGACAACGATGATGATGCTGATGATGTGTGTGTATGTGTGTTGCTGTGTGTGTGTGTGTGATGAGCATCTAGTAATGCTGACGATTATGATGTGTGTGTGTGTGTGTGTGTGTGTGTGTGTGCTGTGTGTGTGTATGTGTGTGTGTGATGAGCATCTAGTAATGCTGACGATGATGTTGCAGGACAAGTTACAGGAGGGGCTGTTGCAGCTGGTGCAGGAGGAGGGACAGAAAGAGAAAGAGGTAACTACACCTGAGTCATTAACACCTAGTGGCACAGAGAGCTTGAGCTACCACTCATCTGGAATAAGTCATGCCAGGATCTGCTGCTTTTTTCTTTGAATCCTGGATGTTCCTCCTTGGTCTGTTAATACCATACCGTCCTATTATGTTACATCACAGTGATAAACTATCACAGCTTGGCAGTATATCTGAACTCTAATCACTGCACCATCTCTCGTCCGCTGCTCACTATTACAAAAATGTCTGATCATCATTTCAATTTTTTATTTTTCAGTTTGAAATCCTTTCCTCTATGTTGAACCAATGATGAATCACTTGAAGACAGCTGAGACAAGACTGATCCAAGTGCTACGTATACCTTGGGTGGTGAGGAAATATGGGAGATAACTCTGACAGTGTTCTCTATATGTGCTTCAATAACCCTGGATGAAGTGAAGAGTGACATATTTGGCAATGGAAGAAGAAGAGCTTGAGACAGTTGGGCAAAGAAGATTTGTTAGCTGTCATAGTAATCAGAATATGTCCATTCAAACACTGACAAGTATCAGTGCCACTTTGGAAACTGAAGATGGTGGTACCAGTGCAATCATACCAATTCACCCTCAAGTGATTGAAGTAGTTTGTAGCAGCAGCAAAACATTAATACTTCGGTTTGTTGTCCATATTTACATCTTAGGGAGAGTGGGTTTGGACATGGCATCTCATTGCTCATTGGGGTGGTGGAGTAGCCAAATGGTTAAAGCATCCACTCGGCATGCTGAAGATCCAGGTTCGATTCCCCACATGGGTACAATGTGTGAAGCCCATTTCTGGTGTCCCCAGCCATTATATTGCTGGAATATTGCTAAAAGCGGAATAAAACCACACTCACTCACTCATTGTCCATCATGATGCAATGAATGTATTCATTGACCATCTACAATCACAGCCCTGCCACCTACAGGTGAATTTAGGTTCAGCTGACCCTAGTGTTCATGTTTTCTTCAGAATATGTCCTCAGTGACCAGTGGTTGTAAGAGTTGACCAAATGGCCTTATGGTCATGCTTGGTGACTTGGTTCATAGGGTGTCTTGTATAAGGTTGATGGTGGATCACAATATCAGTCATTGTTTTATAGTTGACTGGCTGTTTCCAGGCTGCAGTGAGGTTTGAGTTCGATCAGTGGAAGGGTATGAGATTCGGTAACTGGATGTAAGCAAGCTTTGAACTTTGCAGGGAAACTTGACTTAAACTTGTTGTACAGGATGACTGTGTATGGAAGTTGAGTATTATGTACATTATGTAAATAAACAGTGACTACATAGCAATAAAGTCTCTTGTTGTACCACAGTGTTTACCACAAACAGGGTGTGCCATTACCATGGTATGGTACTATTGCCATACAATCAGTACAGATAATCTGCATAAAATAACAGGGATATTGAGAGATTCTATTTCAGCACCTGAACTTGACAACTTGCACTTTTTCTTATCGTTTCTCATATAACATATCAAATATAAATAACAAACACGTAAACTAAGATTTAAACTTTATTATTATATTTTTACAATTAATGGAAAATGGCAAAATACCATACTGAGTTGGTGCTATTTATTTGTTTATTCAAAGGAAAATTTGGACACCCAATTAAGATGAACACAAGCGAGTACATAACTCAATGACCCCAAAAGTTATCTGTAGCTCTGGATACAAGGTCTTCGGTTGGGTCCGTTTCGGTTCGGTATATGAGATATCATAAAGCAGAAAATTGACAAGAGCCAAACCTTACATTTTTAAATAACATGGAAAAAAATAGCCACACTCTTTGTTATTTTGAATGAACAAAACTGTCATTTTATGACTAGATAGAAATGATGGCATGAAAACTGAAAATACCAAATGTTTGGACTGCATTATGGGTATACGATGGAAATACTGTTAGACCCATATTCAGCAGCAGGGCCCATATCACCTTGAAGAGGAGCAGCTAACAAATGCGCTGATGGAAATGTCAGCGAACCAATTGTGTTTTTGAACATCAACTCATGTCTATTGATTACACTGATCATGGGCTCCTGTCTCATGAGCTGACATCCTGAAATGTTCATGTTCATTTGGATTCTGGGTTCTGGGTTAGAGCAGGTTCCCACGGACCTTGTAAGATGCGAGCAAAGTATCGACTACAGGTCATTTTAAATGTTTTGGAAAATGTAGTTTGTTTTTCATATATATCAATCACCATATTGGTCCACATTCTTAAAAGGAGGATGTTACATGGCTTGGAGAGTTGGTGGGTGCAGATTTAGGCAACAAAAAATCTAAAAGAACCCAAAAGGGGCTGCATGCATGTGTACTGTCTCTTCAGCAGATAGATAACATTGCAATTTGTTAGTTGCTCATGCAAGTTTAAACATACTGTTTCAGAGATCATTCTACTATCTTATAATTTGAGGTAGTCTTAACTGTAGATTAGTAACACAATGTGGAATCAGGGAATCTCCAGTTAAACTACCTAAAATTTTTGAACAGGGAAGGTTTATCTTCTCTGTGCTATGATGAATCACAAGGACATTTTAAACACTAAGCTTTTGAAGCCTGTTCGATCTTAGATCATTCCAAAAATGGCCCACGGGCAATGAAAAACGTATTGAATAGAACTCAAGGTTGCAATTTACATGAATCTGTTATTCAACACTGATTCAAAATAATGGTTTCAAAATGTACTTTGTTTGGTTAATACGTGTCTTATGTAACTATTTTTCACTTAATTTTGCTGTTCTGAAATATATTTTGTCAGGTTGATAAGTTCCTATGAGTCAATCAACAGTGAGGAATGTTTTGTCTATGAAATGTTGGAGGTAATCTTGTCGTGGTGAGGTTGGTGTGTGTTTGTGTATGTGGAGAGAGGGTTGCCACCATGTTTTGGCAACTTTTGCCCTTGCTAACTGTGACATTAAATGACCGATTTAGAGCCAATCTTAACAGTGTTACAAGTGCTGTTGCCTGTGGTCCACCTATAATCTCACAACGATATGGTAATCACACAGAAAGTACCTATGATGCACACTGTCACCTGGACTAACACTTAGTTTCTGAATATATATGATTATGATATTACGATTTAAATTGAAAAGGAGACCCAATGAGATGGGAATCTAGACTTCATTTAGGGCTTTAGCAATGCAGGCAGGGCTAGGCAGTAGGGAAAATATTGTGGTTCAGGGACTGTGAGATAGGCTAAGTGTCACTGTAATCATTTGCATGGATGAAGTAAGTCTGTCTCACAGTCCCTGAACCATATTATTTTCCCATCCTCCCAGCCCTTACTGTATCGCAAAAGCTCTAAATGAAGCAGGTCAAGATGTTCCTCAGGTTCTGAATGTCCTACCTCACTGGGCTCCTTTTGAAATTAAAAGTTACTTGTTTCTATGAAAATTATATACATTCCGAGAATACAGTAGGACGAAGTGTCGTTTACTGCACATCATGTTCTGGACCCGTGAAGATCCGGGTTAGAATTGATCTTCAGTAATCCATGCTTGTTGTCAGAGGCCACTAACGGGTTATTTACAGACCAAGGCCATATAGATGGAATATTGCTGAGTGCGGCGTAAAACTAAACTCACTCACTTGATGTTCTGGTAAAAGGAGGACAACCTTGCAAACATTGCGTAAATGTAAATGTGTGAAAAGCCGACATTGTCGCCTCGCATTCTGCTCACCATGTATGCGGCCATCAAAGTTTAATATCATCTGAAGTATGTAGTATGTGCAAACACTTCTTGGTGTTCTGGTTAGAATTGGTCTTCAGTGACCCATGCTTGTCGTAAGAGGCGACTACGGTATCGGTAGCCAGGCTCGCTGACTTGTTTGACACATGTCATCGTATACCAATTGCGAAGGTCGGTGATGATGTCAGTCACTGGATTGTCTGGTCCAGACTCGATTATTTACAGACCGCCGCCATATAGCTGTAAAATGCTGAGTGCGGCGTTAAACACCAAACAAACAAAGGTGCCGTTAGAAACTAGTTAGCCGGTCCATGAATTCGTTAATGTTGTGTAACGCCGCATTCATCAATATCACGACCTGTAAGTAAGCCATGGCAGTTGTGGGTGTCCAACAGAGCTGTGTATTTGTCACATCGAAAGCTGGGTTCGATTCGGTAAATGTGCGGAACCCATTTCTAGTGTCCTGTTATAATATTGCGGGAATATTGCTAAAACTGAGGGAAGCCCACTTCACTCAGAAAACCAGTGGGTGACAGCACGAACATCGGACGACAGAAGAACGATCCTCATATTAGATAGCTCCTTCGACTAGCTTTGTACTTGGAACCATTTCAGGGCGGTGGGGTAGCCTAGTGGTTCAAGCGTTTGTTCGTCACGCCGAAGATCCGGGTTGGATTCCCCACGTGGGTACAATTTGTGAAGCCCATTTCTGGTGTCCGCCACCGTGATATTGCTGGAATATTGCTGAAATCGACAGACAAATAAGCTCACTCTATCACATGGAACTATTTTACCCTAAACTCCCCACCCCGGTGTACTTTGAATTAATATCTAAATCAACGTAATGATGAATCAGCTTGATTAAAGCTTGTTTTATAGAAAATACAATATAATATTTAACTTTTTAAACTCTGAAACAATGTCAGGTGAGCTACAGAATCTTATACATCCTCTTTTTACAATACAATTTTGTGACTTGTCTATGAAGAACCTTTTTTTCTATTCAATTCCCCTCACAGTTCAGTGATAGAGGCGCCTGCGACAGGTGAAGGCCCTTTGCATACATAACAGTGGAGTGAGAGAGTGATTTATTGCCCAAGGCAGCATATTTTCACAAGGACCATGCAAAAATATCCCCAATCTCCAGAAAGCGGCATACAATCTTGTTTCCATTGATTGCTGTGGCCATGAGAATACTTCAGAGAGCAGAGGGTTTTCAGCTTTAGTAATCACTGTTTGAAGGGAGACCGGGCCCTGAGTTTGATGGCGTCGCGGAGACCAGCCATAAATACCAGATTGAAGAACACAGATTTATGACCGCTTCATCCATTTTGACCAACGTCAGTCACACCTAAGTAATCAACGCCAATCATTATCCAAGCAATGTCTTGAAAATATATCTGTTTGAGATTCTTTGGAATGAGATTCTTGCCGAGACGGCCAACAGCGAAGGAAACGGGCACCAATGGCTACCGCTGGTCGTCTGCCTGAAATAGCCGACCCTCTGCCACCATTCTGCTTTGGCGGAACTCGCCACCATTAAAGTGATAAAACGTGCCACAGTCGGATTGATTAAATCCCGGATAATGCAACCAAACAAATTGAAAAGCCAGCTCTGCCTGTTTCTTCTATCGGCAATGCAAGGACAGGTTCATCCCTGACCGATAACGGAAACTATTTCTCTTTAATTTCCTATCCGTGCATTAGGGGACATTTCTCGGGAAGTGACGCGGTTGTCTCCCTTTGACCAACCATAAACCAC